CGGTCCGTCACGCCTGTGACGGTCCGTCCTGCCATTCCATTACGAAGTTGAGAGAGTCGATTTTCAGTACCCAATTTCAGATTTTCTAAGTGTTTTGAAACGAGACCCTGTGACGGTCCGTCGTGCCCATGACGGTCCGTCGTGGGGTCTGTCGCTTCTGCCAGTTTTTCCAGAATTGAAGTCTGCTACTCAAAACGACTAAACAGGTCTTTACACATTAATATCTTTTTAAAATTTCTTTTGAGATATTCAAATCTTATTTCCAATAATCATCCACATATTGCCAAAAAAAAGAAGAAAAAGAATAAAAACACATTAAGAAACTTTGGTGGATTTTGAAATATAATTTGGTGTGTTGTAGACAATGAAATATATTTTGATAAAACAAGATTATATTTATAGAATAATTTGTGAAGTTTAAAACTTTTATGAACTAAGAATTCTTTTGTAAGCTTAGGATCTTATGTTAGGCTCCAAGATTACCCCTACACCCGATAAGGTGCTTAGAGCCACAAGACAACACAAGATAACCTCATGCCGTGGCATGACACAAAAATTAACCTAAATCAATAGAAAATTAAAACATAAAGGCAAAAGGTAAATTTGAAATATTTATATAAAATTCATAACACTGAGATAGATTAATATATCTGAATGAAATAACATAAGCAAAATCTATATCGATATGACTGTTTGAAAGCTTTTACTAGTATGAGCTTCTAGGACAAAGCCCTAGCTAATAACTCCAAATGTTTAAAATTGAAAATAATAACTGAATAGTATGAGCTTCTAGGACAAACCCCTAGCTAATAACTCCAAATGTTTAAAATTGAAAATAATAACTGAAAAGAAAGATAAGGGTATTTGTCCTCGAGAAGATGAGGGGCTCACTAATACTGCTACTCGCTAATCAAAAGTATCACTAACCGCGAACATCAGAACCTGTATTATTAAATAAAGTATGTTGTCAATACTTTTTGTAACCTAAAAGGCATAGATTAAGGATATGAGAACTCTACCTTTGATGATCAAAACTATCATCATGTACGCCCATTGCTGCCTCCAGCAGCATAGAACGACACACCGCTTGGTGTGGAGCCGCCACTAGCATTAATATCATCGTCAAGAAGGAAATCCAAAGTGTCGGTCTGTATAATCACATCAATGATGTCATTCTTCTTTAGAGTACGTCGACAATTTTTCTCAGCTTTAAACCAGGAAAGAAGAGTGAGTTCTTGAATGAACAGCTCACATGCCTTAGCCAACAAAACAGGTGTTTCAGTAGCGATCATTCAGACATCCTTATCCATCTTCATGATCGTCTTGATGCAGTTAGGTGGAAGTAGCATATTGTTCTCGAAATTGTTAACATTCTCCATCTCTCTCTGTTTGTCTCTCCAGAACATCTCCAGTGCTTCTTGCTTCTTCTCAAGTTTAGGTTGCGACGGCGTTGGGTGCGCATCGGATTGACCTGCTTTCACTGTCGATTTCTCAAAGTTATTTTCCATGGTAATTTTTTCTATGTTTACAAGCTCAAACACACAAAAATGAAGACTGATACATATATGCAAGTTTGTGCTGAGAAAAAATCAAATCTAATTATAGAATTTCTAAATCCAATTAAATGAATGAACCTAGACGTTTTTTAATCTACATTCCAGCTAAGACTATTAATGAAAATTTGTTGCATTTTAGTATGTAATAATAAAATTGAATCAAAATTAACTAAGTAATACTAGTTAGTTTTAGTCAATAAGGTATTAAATATTAGTTAGTTCTAGTCAAAGGTAATAAAGAATGAACGAAGATATTAATTAAAATAATTCTTTTTAAAATCTACATTAAAGCTAAGACTATAAATGAAAATTTGTTGAAATTTAATATGTAATAATAAATTTAAAAGAAAATCATCTTCGTAAATACTAGTAAGTTCTAGTCAATAAGGTATTCAATATTAGCCAGTTCTAGTCAAAGGTATGAAAGAATGAAAGAAAATATTAATAAAATTGATTCTTTTTGAGTGATTCTAATAAATACTTTCTAGAATCCTCCATATATCACAAAAAACAATAATGAATAGAAAGAAATAAAAATTTGTCATAAATGGGCTTTCAGATAGGCATAATACATAAATATCCCTTTTAGTTTGGCTTCAAATCACATTTGCGCTCTTCAACTTTGTATGTGCACAAGTAGAGACTTAAACTTATATAAAGTTGAACAAATAGACACACATGTCCTACATGTCATTTTTTGTCCTACATGTCAAGTTAAAGTGTATGTTTGTGCAGTATGAATGTTGAAGGTCAAAATTAAAATTCAAAACCAAATTTAGGGTCCAATATATGTATTATTTCTTTCAGATATGTGTACAATGCGTCAAATTTGATGTCTTTTAGTCTGAGAATCATACTTTGGTAAAACAAGATTAATTTTATAAAACAATTGCCATTTGTGAAGTTTAGAACTTATATATATACTAAGAATAGTTTTTATAAACTCATAGTTTTATTACATATATCACATAAATATACTAACAAAATAATTGTTGTTATCACAAATTTTGTGCTAACATGTCATGAGTGTATCCTAAGATTCATGAGTGTTTTAAAATCTATTTGCACAATAGTTAAAAATTTTCTACAGAGAAATACATGACATATACAAGACATGAAATTGATTAAAAATTTAACTTAACCTCACTAATTTGTGGTCTAACACTACATTCAGACATAATAGGAGTGGATGACATATTTTAATATTGCATATTAACTAATGATTTGTTATTACATATATGAACCTAGTCTATTCGATCGCGATCACATAGTTGGGTTATGTACTATCATTGTTCATCTTTCCAAATTGATGAAAATCTCACCCTCCTCGACGTTTCTTTTTAAATTTAAATTGATCTATAATGTGCCTCTTTGAATTTTTTTTGAAGGTTAACCACTTTAGAAATGATAGTGTATGTAGAAGATATTTGTTATTTTAGCAATAGTGACAAGTAAATAAAGTAACTTCATGTTTCTTGTTTTCTTTGCGAGAATAATTAGATTTACAAGAAAGATTTTGTATTACTTTTACTTAGTTTTTTATTTTATAAAAAATAACACAATTAGTTTCCCTTCTCAATTTCTTTTTCCCCCCTAATCCTTCCCAATGTCTCATGTACCTCATTCAATCCACCAAATTATTTTGCAGTCAAACAAAGCGTATTTGGTTTAACATATATACGCATTAAACTTGTGTTATTGTGATGTTGGTAAATGATAACTTATAAGTTATTTTCTAATACAACAAAGTAATTGTTAAATTCACTCATAACTTTGTTATATCCGTTGATACTGCATTCACCATCGATTGCTCAGAGTTATTTTTCATGATATTTTGGTGAAAACGTAATTTTTTCTATATTAACACATACAGAATAGATATAAAATAAATGTTGGTGCTTATATGTACAAAGGAGAAAGAAAACTAATTACAAATTTGCTAATCCTAATGAAAGTGTAAATTTTGATGCTTGAGGTACAACGCAACTTCGGTGAGCAAATAAGGGAATTGGTGCCATATACTTATTTTAATTAAATGAAAATTTTAGTAGTAGTGAAGTGTGTCATAGATAAAATATGAGAAAATTACACTTACCTTAAAAAAATTAGAAGCAATATTACAAAAATAAGATACTTTTTAATCTTTAGCAAATATACGTTTATATTACAAAATATAGCAGTTTGAAATAGATTATAAAATGGGGTTTTTTTTTTAATATAGATTTTAGACATTATTTATAAGCTAGATTTTTGGTTTTTATTTGTGTTTAACACATTCATTTTCTAAAGAGAAAAAACATAAAAATTCTCCTGAACTTGGTCGGATAACTTACTTTAGCACTTAAAATATACGGGCATTTAAATACCTCCATTAACATGTTTGAAGTGATATTTTCACCCTGAGACCATAACACCACTTTCACCCGCACATCATAACCACGTAAGGCCACATCCTAACCATGTAGACACCATGTCATTAATTTTTATTTCTTTTTTACTTATTCAATATTTTTTCTTAAACACTTTTTAAAATTAATTATATCAATTGATTAATTATAAACACATAGTCTCCCCATCCTTCACCCCTCCCTTTCTTCTTCCTTGTTGTTCACCATTATTCCTCCTCCTCTTCCTCCTTCTCCTCCTCCTCCTCCTTCTTCACTATTCAATAATTGTGTAAGTCACTTTAAAGAAGAAAATTCACTACAATATTTACATTATCTTTTTCGAACCTTCCTAACAAATTTATCCATTTGGAAAATGATTTTCTCGAAAGCCTGACAACTCAAATAAGAAATGAAGATTTCATAAGATGGTTGATCCAAAAATAATATAAATTTTATGAGAAATGTCTGAATAGATCTAGAAATTAAAATGACTATTTAAAATTTAATAAATTTTATATTTGCTGAATCGATACCAATAATATAGAGTGAAATCAACGTCAATATAATGACATTGATATTGAGTTTTACAAATTAGTAAAAGACTAGTTTCTATTATATAGAAGAGTGAAGTGGGAGGACGACCAAGGGTAAAAATTTAATTTCATTCTAACAAAAATCTATTAAGAAAGATAATAAATAATTCTAAAAATCTCTTTCTATATATAAAGTGAATAATGATCAAGGGCAAAATTATAATTTCACTCTACCAAAAATCTCCTAGAATGATAACAAGAAAATTAAATAGTACTAGAAACATCTAAGTTATTGTTATTACCATTAATTTATTTAAGTTATTACTTCACTTTCTTTTCTTTTACGAGTTATTGTGATATTTATTTTATTATTACTCTATTTTACTATTACTTTAGTTTAATTCTTAATATTTTTTCTATTCATTATGCTTAGGGATAATGCACAAGTACCCCATCAACCTATGCCCAAATTGCAGAGACACACTTATACTATACTAAGGTCCTATTATCCCCATGAACTTATTTTATAATTAATTTTCTACTCCTTTTCGTCCTACGTGGCACTATATTGTGAGCCTAGTGTGTCTTGATATTTTTCTTCAAACTAGTGCCACGTAAACCGAAAAGGGGTAGAAAATTATTTATAAAATAAGTTCAGGAGTGTAATAGTATCTTAATATAGTATAAGTGTGTCTCTGAGATTTGAGTCATAGGTTGAGCGGGTACTTATGCATTTTCCCTTATGCTTATAAAAATGCCTTCTTTTTACGTATAAATTTATCATGAATTAATTATTTCCATCTTTATTTGAATCTAATTAATATACATGAAAATAAATAAGTGTTATAAAATTAGTAATGTATATTAGATTGCAATTAAAGAAAAAGATGTGAAAAAATAACTTTACAAATAAAAATGAATATGATAGATATATTTGTATTAAAGACGACCAAGAATAAATATGTAATTTCATTCTAACAAAAATCTATCAAGAATAAATAATTCTAGAAATATATTTCCATATATGAAGTGAATGATGATCAAAGGTAAAAAAAATTATAACTTCATGCAAACAAAAATCTGCCAATAACAAAAAAATTAAATAGTTCTTGAAACATCTTTAGTTATTATTATTATTATTATTATTATTATTACCTTATTTTGGTATTTCTCCATTTATTATGAATTATTGTGATATCTATTTGTTATATGAAAATAAATAAATTATGATTACGATTACCTCTTACTAATGCTATATCAAATATGATATTAGATTGAACAATAAAAAATAAAATTAAAATTCATATGTATATTTAAATTTTATGTATTAAATTATCTTTAAATTTTGTGATCTTAAATATACTACATAAAAAAAATTAAAATTCAGAATTTATTATATATATATATATATATATATATATATATATATATATATATATATATATATATATATATTA